CTTTGAACGAAGGTTGGTGAGCAATGAATGAGTGGTTCACGGTTAGAAGAAAGGAGAGAGCTATTTATACTCATAGTATAATCCAACCATTCAGATCTGTGTCGGAAGTTCCGACACATATCGCCGGAACTTTCGGCCCTTCTACAAAACATTGTTCATGGCGCAATCAAAGGTGGTCAACATAGCCAGAGCCAGAACTCCCGATGCAACGTCGGAACTTCCAACAGTCGGGACTTCTGACTTTTGTCGGGACTCCCGACGCACAGCCAAGCCAGGGGGCTAAGTCTCAGAGCATCGGGACTTCCGGCACCCGGAACTCCCGACTCCCGTCGGGACATCCGACAGGCAAAGGTGCACAGGCATGCTGACGGCAAGGTCAGCAAGCGCCGGGACTTCCGGCACCAAACGTCGGGACTTCCGACTACCAAAAGTCCACAAACTATTTTTAAGTGTTCGTGAGGTGATTTTGTGTCTCTCTTTTGATTTTATTTTTATGCTTGAGCACTCTATCTTCCTCAGACCACCTAAACTTGCATCCCTCTTTATAGTACGGCATACCTAAACCCAAAACAAAATATAAAAGCTTTGGAGAGTGCTTTGAGTTCGTCCGCTTTTTGCACTTGAAGAATTGAGGGATACCATTTCATCTTAGATCAACTCTTTAAAACTTTCAAAGGACTAAAGCTGTAATATATCTCATTAAGATCTTATTAGCCCCTAATTTGGATGTCATCAATACACCAAAACCCACGTAAGGGGCGAAAGCACTTTCAACCACCTCTCCCCAACACAAATCCTCCCCTAACCCCTCCTCGACCCTCACCGGAAGCGCAACCATCGTGAGTCCGTGAAGAGCGGCAATGGGGTGAGGAGCAGTGGCGGTGTACGGCGAACTCTTGTATCTCCTCCAGTTCTCGTACCTCCCGGTCTCCTCCCCGCAGGGAATCGCCGGCGGCAGCGAGAGCCTTCCTCTAGTCAACGCAAACGCCACCGGATCTGGATAAGGTGGGTGGAGATGCCGGCAAGGCCCCTTGATCTATGGCGAGCCAACACTGCTGGGAGAGCCCGCTGGCGATGAACTCAGCCAGCGGAGGAGAGGTCGTCGACGACTTCGGCGAGCTCAAGGTCTACATAGCCAGCTCGGCGGAGTCCAATGCTGTGGATTGAGGCTCCAAATCTGAGGTACCCCTCGTTTTTTACCCCTCTGAAACAGACTCGGTTGAATCCTTCGATTTGTTATAATTATTCTGAACTATATGGCATCAAGTAAAACATGTGTTCACAAGAAAAATGCATTTTTTATATAAAGGAGAATATACACAACCCACAAAAAGGAAAATAAGGCTACATACCATTTTTCTTTTGTTGATTATAGCTATGCAGTTGTCCATATTTATTTGTTTATTTACTGTCAAGTTGTTTCAGTTTGTCCATTATTTGTAGTTTTGTCATATTTAAGTTTTTCAGATCTCGGAGTTCAGGATTATGCACCAAAACTTCTTTTGACTGATAGATGTATGTCTCTATGGGCTCTTGTGATAGGAACGTACAGGAGAATTTACTTGGGTAAGAAAGAATGTTGCACCAGTCATTTGGCTTTAGTCTAAGGATTCAGTTCAGGAGTTCCTTATAAATTGAGGTATGTAAAATTCTAGATGTGAACTACTGAGTAATTTTCAGGTTCTCCTCTGTTCAAAATTAAGATTAAAACTTGAAGCAAAACCACACTGCCTGAACAATTTTGCAACTGATTATTGTATTGACTTGTTTGCAGGTGACGTAAGCTGAATGGAACTGGAGAGACCGCGCAGTCCTGAATATGTTTGGTTTCTCGCGGCGCCGGGTGAAACTTGGAAGGTGAATGTTATGCACGGTTCTTTAATGTCATCCTGTGATGTTTTTCCTCACTTTTTTTTAAACTTTGGGTACCTGTTATGTGATGATGACAAGGGGAACTTGTTATGTGAAATTCAGTTTCTTGTGTACTTGAGTAAATTGATGAAGTCAAACGGCTTTATGAATCCCAGTTAATTATTTTGCTTTTGTTTTTCAGGTCGAAGGGTGACGCAAGTGATCCTTTGAACAGCTGTGAGAGTCATGTTGGACCCAATAGCCTCCCCAATGTGCGCCTATGACTAAAAATTGCATCTAGTTGTTAGTACTGTTGTATTTAGGCCACAACTGGTTGTTTTTCTTTTCATCACAGACCTGGATAAAGTATAGGGTTCTATTTAGGAAGCAAGTTATATTGATAATAATACACTGATCGGCACAAATTTGCACTGGTCTTTTTTCTCATCCCTGTCAGCTAACCTACAGCCATCGCCTCTGCTTGCTTGCTTGCTTAGGTGTCTCCATGTACACAAGACCTTTCTTTGTTTGCCTCTTTCTTTGTAGCACAACAAAAAAAATACTGGTACACGGTGATGGAGTGACTTCAGCATCAATCAAATCACACAGACAAAGCTTAAAATATGATTGATGTGCTTTTGATCCTAAATTATGGAGTAATTTCTTTTTTAACTGTGCTTACGTATAGCTGGACTATTTTTTTCATTTTCTAGGGTCTGCACTAATGTATGCAGCTTTAATTTCTATGTTTTTTCAGTCCAACACGGCGGTTACTAGACGAGAGGAAAGGAAGATCAAAGGAAAATCAAAGTGCTCTTAGTGGTGGTTTTGTTCCATGACTTCCTAGAGATGAAACATTTTTCAAAAGAACTTTATTGTTGTGCAAGCAAGACATATGAGTTATGTTTTGTACGCGACAAACATCTTAGTTGTGTAGATACTTAAGTGATCTAGTTTGGTTGTGAGTATTTTGTATAAAACATTGTACAAGTACATATGTTGATGGCTTCAATAGGAAATTGTGAGCATGGTTTACTCGGTTCTGTGTTTGATGCTCAACATCAGTTTGGATGGATAATGTTTAAATGGCTGATGCTATATGGTTGTTGTATAATTAATTAGTTCATATTATGCTAGCATTAGACAGTTGGTCGCTATAAATATATATTGTCAGACAGTGTGTTGTTATAATTTTATAATAGTTACCAGATAGTATTCGTTGTATCTCGTACACAGCGTTCGACGATCGGTCGCTAAAAGTCGGTCGGTCATTAAAGATTTATAACGGTGTGGCAGATATAAGGGCCGTTAAAAAGATATAACTACCGATCATATGTCGTTGAAACAGCTTTTAATGATCCACCGGGCAACGCGTGCCAGAAAAATCCCCTCCTCTGCCATGGAACGGGGAAGTTGCGGCTTTGTCTCTCGCGTGCGCGGGTGCACCGTCTCTTCGACGCCCGTCGTCCACCGTCGCTTCCAGGAGTTCATGTTTAATACAATCACCGGCAGCTTCCAGGCGTCAAGCAAAATAAACCAGTCTACAACTCCACACGTGGATTTGGCACAAGCGTGGGTTGGGTGGACGGAGTCGATTAACCCAATCCATGGGTGGAGCAGGTCACACGTGTTTTAAATACACAATCAGCCAAACAAAGCCTCCGGGGGAGGCAAAGTGTGATCGGCTCGTTTTCGTGATATCTAATTAAGATGTTTGTCAGTTTTGCGATCAAATTGCATGGTTGAGCTAGAGCAGAGGACCTCTATGGAAGGAGGGCAGTGACAGATAAAACGTAGCAGTGACAAATAAACAACGGTACACCTAGCGCCCGGACGCACCTCAGAAAATGGCACCCGCATACAGAAACAGCGCTAGCACGCGTGCGTGCGTCCCCATCCACACCCCCATCCCGCCACCGCTCTGCCATCTCAGGCGCGCTCCCTCTGCAAGCCCCCCGCCGCGCCCCCTCCGCAGGACCCTGCCGCGCCGTACAGCGCCACGCCCCCTCGGCAAGCCCCTGCCACGCCATGCAGTGCCGCAGCCGTTTCGTGTTGCACGCGGGGCCCATGCCTCCCGAGTGACAAGAGGGGAAGGGCGCGCGGCGCCTCCAACTCTGAAAGACCCGGCCGCGGCGTCGTATGGATGCCCTGCCGGTTCTGGGAGAGACGATGCAGCAGAAGGTGGAGAGGAGAGATGCAACACCCAATCTACTTTTGAAACATCCAAATGCCACAGTTGCAACATACTTCTAAAGGCAGTTGAAACACTTGAAACATGCTTCTGAAACACTTGAAAAAAACACATGAAACACGCTTGAAAACCATTGCAACCACGCGCAATATCCAATTAAAACACATGCGCTTGCAACGTGTCTCTAAAACAATTGCAACATATGCAACATCCCCCGATCTACTTTTGCAACATCCATATAAAACAAATGTAACATACATCTGAAACGCCTGAAACATTTGAAATATACATATGCAACGAAAAGGCTAGGTTGGTCGATTCCGACCGCCGGGGGTGGGGAGGGCGTCGCGCGCGGGGTGGGGCAGCAAAGCTGTCCACTCCCCTGCAACACCGCCGCGCCACCTCTATGGATCTTATCGGTGTGGGAGAGAGGGCCACCGGATCCGCTAGCGTTAGGCTCTCCCGGTGGGTGAGGACGCTGGGTGGAGGGAGGGGTGCCACAGGGGTGGGAGGAGGGCGTCGGGGTGGGAGAGCGTGTCGGCGCCGGCCAGGGAGGCAGCCATGGCCGCACGTCGGGGTAGCGCGCGGTGTGCGATCGCGGAAGAGGAGGAAGCAAGAGACTCAGTGCAGGAGTGAACGAGTGAGGCGAGTCAGGTACGGATGTTTCGGGAGGCCGCAAGCCCGTTGGTATTGGACCGATTGCGGCGCAGGTCCAGAACGGCGCGTCCGGCACAGAAGCGTTATCGAATAAACATGCCTAGCTCGAGCCGTCGAACCGCGCTGGCCATGAACGTTGATTTTGCTGGGCGGGGTGGTGGGTGGGCTACGTTAACAAAATAACAGTCCGCCCTTTCCCGCATATGCACTGCTACTTCATTATTTGCAAGCAGTTCAACTTGTCAAAATAGCGAAGGCCCAGAAAGCAGCAGCAGCGTAGCGCCTTCGCCGGGAGCCAGCCATGCACGGCCTTCTCCCCATCCTCCTCCTCTGCTCGTCTCTCCTCGCAACCACAGCCAACGCCGACAACCCGACCGCGGAATCCTGCCCGAGCGACACGAACTACACGCGCGGCAGCTCGTTCCAGGCCATCCTCGACGCCCTCCTCTCATCACTCCCCGCGACCGCCGCCGCCGCGCCCACAGGGTTTGCCACGAACACCACCGGAACCTCTCCCGACCAGGCGGCCTACGGCCTCGCGCAGTGCCGCGCCGACGTCATCGACACGTCGGGCAAGTGCGCAGGCCAGAAGAAGGCCGTGCTCGTCTACGACAACTGCCTGCTGCGGCTCTCCGACGAGAGGTTCTTCGGCGCCGTCGACATGTCACCTGTGGCCTACCTGTCGAACTCGCAGAACGCGACGCAGCCGGAGCAGTTCGCGCCGCGGCTCGGCGTGCTGATGAGCAACCTCACGAAGAAGGCGGCGCTCGAGTCCCCGCGGATGTTCGCGGTCGGCTCAGCCGCGTTAACGCCCTTCGTGAACATCTACGGTATGGCGCCGTGCACTAGCTAGGGACCTTACCGCCGACGACTGCAACCGCTGCCTCGTCAACGCCGTCTCGTCGATCCCGAGCTGCTGTAGCGGGATGAAGGGTGGCCAGCTCATCTACGCTAGCTGCTCCATCCGGTTCGAGGTGGAGCCGTTCTACAACATCCAGGCCGCCGAGGCGGTGATGTCGCCGGTGCCGGCCCCGGGAGGCGGGTTCGTCAACGGAAGTGACCACTCGGGTCCAGGAAGCGACGGTGAGTCCATCCACAATGCAACTCCTCCAATCTCCTATCTCCCGTAGTCCCGTCACTTTCCTGACACGTTTGATAGTTGACACTTAGGATCTTCTGCCGTCCAGTCACTTTCCATACGCGTTTCATAGTTGACGCTTGTTGTGGCTCCGAGATCTGAACTCCGCTGTTGTCGCCGTGATAGTTGACACTTGCTCTCATCTTGACTCGGCAAAATTGACGATGGGATTTCTCCATCTTCTCCAAACATGACCACATGAGATGCGGAAAAACGTTTTGCTTTTTAGTAGCAGAGTTGAATTCCAGAGTTTGGACGGTGACTAATCTTGGCAAAGTCTGAAATGGCTTCTATTCTGAATTACCGTGCACCCGTGTGGATTCTGTTCAGGGAGTAATCAAACAGTCAGGACAGCTCTTCTCGTGTCAATCCCTGTCGCTGTTGCGCTGCTGGTGCTGCTGCTAGTTGTTGCCTATCTCTGCAACCGGAACAGAAAACCACACAAGCATGTGCAGATTGCAAGCATCAGTAAGTGGTGAAACAATGTCAGTACATTTGATGAGTAGTATGGTGCTATGTTTAGGCTTGAGGTCTTTTCGTGTTCTATTATAAACAGGACGTGAAGATGACGAATAAATGAGAAGCTCAGAGTCTCTCCTGTATGATTTGAGCACCCTACGAGCTGCCACCAACAACTTCTCACAAGAAAACAAGCACGGCGAAGGCGGTTTTGGGCCAGTATACAAAGTACGAAACTTAACTTTAAACATGCAACCTAAAAACTAATCTACGCAGCTGATATTCTTTCCCGCAAGTCCGTCAGATTAGTTGTTGATCCGGTCTCAATGTTCTTCAGGGCACGCTACAAAACGGGCAGGAGATTGCAGTGAAGAGGTTGTCTGCAACTTCGCAGCAAGGACAGATGGAGATGAAGAACGAGGTTTTCCTGTTGGCGAAGCTCCAGCACAGGAACTTGGTGCGACTGCTCGGCTGCTGCATCGAGGAACACGAGAGGCTCCTCGTCTACGAGTTTCTTACCAACAACAGCCTCGACAAGATCGTCTTTGATGCTACATTTTTAGACAACCATGATTCTTGATACTATCATTTCACACCAGGGTCACTAGGACACTCCATTTGCTAATAATTTCAGTAAATTCAACTCGCAGATCCTGCACGGCAGCAAGAGCTGGGCTGGGGACTGAGGCACAAGATCATCGAGGGGATCAGCCGAGGGCTCCTCTACCTCCACGAGGACTCGAGGCTTACCATCATCCACCGTGATCTCAAGGCGAGCAACATCTTGCTGGACGCCGACATGAACCCCAAGATCTCAGACTTCGGCTTGGCAAAGCTGTTTAGTATCGACTCCAGCGTTGGAAACACCAGCCGCATTGCTGGAACCTAGTAAGTTTGCCTGCCGGTGGACTCCAGCTGTGGTGATCACGAGCGTGGGTGTAATCATCTGTGTTAACCTGACAATCTGACATGCTGACCGTGGCTTTGAAATGCATGCAGTGGGTACATGGCGCCGGCGTACGCTCTGCACGGCATCTTCTCGGCCAAATCAGACGCTTTCAGCTATGGTGTCCTTGTCCTCGAGATAGTCACCGGACGACGCAACACGTACACGCATGCTTCAGGACCCTCCGAAGATCTTCTTACCTATGTATGGATCCCTCTTATTACTGTCATGATGATGAAGCATCAAATTTTTGGTATATATCCTAACTCCTTTTAAGGCTAATATCCTAGTCCTATTATCCTTGTTTTGCATGGCATGGGCAGGTTTGGAGGCAGTGGAGCCGTGGGAGCGTGCAACCGCTGCTGGAGGGGTGCCCCGAGGACTCGAGGAGGGGCGTCGGGCGCAGGAGATGCTGAGGTGCATCCACGTCGGTCTGCTCTGCGTCCAGGAGGACCCGCACCTCCGCCGCAGCATGGCGTCGGTCGTCGTCATGCTCAACAGCCGCTCCATTACGCTACCGGCCCCCAACGCACCAGCCTTCGCGATGCCGGGCCGTGGTCTCACGGTGACCGCGGACGCGGACGCGCCCGTGACGGGGACGGATCGCCAGGGTGCGAGGGCGGTGGCAGCAGGTCGGGGACAGTCCATGTCCATCAATGATGCCTCCCTTACTGACTTGGAGCCGCGTTGATGGGTCGTCAGCTACATCAGCATGGACGACGTCGATGGATCAATGAACTTGGATGTTTCTGGTTCACATTTTTTGGGTTTCAGTTCTCTGACTGTTCTCTTGTTTGTTTGTTTGTTTTTTTAAGGAGTTTGTTTTTTTAAGGAGGTTTGGTTCTGAATTACAGGAATATTTACTTTTCAACATGAACTGTTCAAAGCACTTTGGTTGTCTTTCTGGAAATGTCGTATCAAAATTCAAAAGTAAGGAAGATGGACAACAAAATCTGGGTGGTTTGAGTTACTGTGATAAACTAGTACTTTCTCCAACTACAAAACAAGCCGTGAATTTTAGCATCTTCTCGGACAATCAATTATAGCCACTGCAGTTAGAAATGCGACTTTTTTTTTATTATTATTAGAGGCCAACAGTACAATACTTTCAAAATTTGATAAAGTTTAAATGGTTTTCTACGGTACTCTAGCCACCCAGGTAAGATTTCAAATAAACCCAAGCCCTTAAATATTAGGAGAGATAAAATATTTAATAAAAAGAGAAAATAAATAACCGATTGTTTCCTTTTATCTGTACTAGTATAATGTCCGTGCTAGCGCTACGGCAGCACATAACCATCAAATACCCAGTCTCGGCTACGAGACTCCCATTGTACCACATGTAAGAAAAAAAAATCACCCAAACAAACTGAAGTAGAGGATTAGCTGCAAATTGCATTCCCATTTGCTGCAACTTAATAACCCACAGATCGATTTGTGTTTTTATTTCCCAAAGGCAATTTATTCCAATACAAATATTTTGTAACAATCTCAATCGGAGAAACAAGTTGACAGTCTCAATTTATTCCAATATACAAATATGACAAGTAAAACAAGATTAAATCAATAGACCCATAACATCTTTCCTTCTCAGTGATCCCTAACAGTAAGATAGTAAAAAACAACATGAGATAAAAAAATCTACAGAATCCTATTCTCTGGTAACCATTTGATAGCAAGTTCGCCAGCTGCTAAGGGAAAGCCAAAACATGCCATCGAATCCTGCTACTGCACCTCAGCCACAATGGGAAGAGATGACAGAGGTGCTGGTGCCCAGCCCCAGTGCCCTGCTACTGCAGCACGCAAACTGGAAGAGAGATTAGAGATTGGTAGGGAAAAGGAGGCCAGAGAAATCAAGCTTAACAGTTTAAGCCCTGCTTAGCTGGTACGGTAATTATATAAGTCAGCTAACGCTATGGTAAAATACAAAACATATTAAAAATAAAACGAGCAATGAGATTCATTAAGATTTTTATGACATAATGAATTGCACATACCTTATTGATTAGCTGCTATGCACCTTCCTCAAACTGTGCGACCAATCGGCCGAACCACTCCCTGCAACCACAATTACAAAATAACACCACTGATCATATACTTTTTAAATCTTTCATTGATGCAAATTGACAGCTTCTTTAATTGCGTTGAAAACTCCTTGATCCTCCATTATTGTTTCTAACCAGCCCCACTGTAGCCTGCTAGTAAAAGTTAATTAACAGAATAAATCAGGACATACGTATGCCTGCAGTACATTATTCAACACTAACTTATTTACCGCTAACACAGTGTATTATGTTCTTTTAAAACATTAGACGCAGAAGTCAAATTATTAAAACAGCTAATAGGAGCTGCTAAAAAAGCAGTCCATGGCTGAAAATTCCTTGTCCAACTCATAACGTCCCGTGAACTGATGCAATTGGTCACCTCACAAGAGGAGGTTCATACTCATGAGTCATAACTGATCAAAAAACCAATGAAAGAAAATGAATCAAAATAGAGTGAAGGGGAAATTCAGTAGTAGATTTTTGGCAAATCCAATTGAAAGAGATAACAGCATCCATGCAGCAACCAAGTTATCCCCTCAGGCCCCATAAAAATAGTTCTCAGTTTCTTCCAGTAGCAAAAATCAGTGCCTCCCAGTGTTCTTCTCGACGGAATTTATCATCCTCAAGCAAAAAATCAGTGCCTCCTAGTAGCAAAAATCAGTGCCTCCCAGTGTTCTTCTCCATAAGGGGAGCATCTCCACTTATGTTAGCCGACCCAAATCAATTGAAGTTAGCCGGCCTGATCTTAACTTCACAATGCAGAGCTGCGCAAGGATGGGCGGCTCGAGCGGCGCTCGTCTCATCCATGAGCATCTCCACACCAAGACGCCCGCTCATTTCTTCGGCGATGGGGTAGTAGTTCTTGTCCTTGGCGAGCACCACGGCCTGCTGGGACATATCCCAAATTCTCGGCCACAACAAAGAAAAAAAAATTATCATAGGTGCTGCAATTTTCTCAATCGTGAATTCACAGCATATACCTCTGCGACAAGCCAACCCTCGCCTCCGTTGCCAAAGCTTAGTTTTCACTTGTTCAAACATGTCTTCAACCCTTCTTACAGCAGGTCACCGTCTCATTGAAGGATTGTCATCAAATACATCAAAAGGTGCATCAACCATCGACAATACCAAGCAAGTGAATAAGAACATATGGAAATGCTAAACATGAATTGCAACACATGTGGAAATGCTCAACAGAATGAGAAAATAAACTTACGATCCCCTTCATGCCTCCACACTTGATGAGATCACGGACAAGATCCCTGACATTACATAGATGACAAGAACTTGTAATTACAACCTTATCATACCAAATGCCCTGGGATCTCAGGCAATGCCTTAGCCCATCAGGAGGTAGAGTCAGCCATCATACTGAAGTTGTGGCCCATATGATGGAAATACTCAGCAGCTGTAATTCCTGATTGAAAAATATACAATATGACTGTTAATAGAAACCCTGCGCTGAACAACAACAGTTTCTAGAATATGCGATCACCGAAATCTTGTGTTAATTAAGGTAGTATATGTTAAATCTAGTAATCTCCACGAAAGCTCCTGAAATATGGTTGCTCCAACTCCAATGTTTGTGATGTTTGTCATTGCCTCGAGAGCTCGCCCGTTACTGAGAGTCCAGCCTTCAAGTAGTAGCTGTAAATCAAACAAAATTTCAATATCTATTTGATAGTATAACTGATACAAAAGGAAACTGATAATTGATTGATTATTCTATTGCAAAAAATGGTAAATACATTTCTCTGTAAGGTTTGTTTGAAATATAAACCATCAGAAAAGTGTAAGCAGATTAGGATTAAAGGATATAATCCATATTTGACGACAACCATATAACTCAAATATGAATCGAGAGATCCAGATTAGGGGGGAATGAACAAACAGGCATGAACCTGGAGGTCCTCGGGGAGGTACTCGTGCTTCATGGAGAGGCTTCAGCAGTCGTTCCCCATGGCCCGGAGCACACCGAGCATGGTCTCCTCAACCATGGCGCCCTTCACCTCTGGCTCCAGCAACCTTACGGCCCTTGCAGGGCCTCGATCGGCGGGATCTCTCCCCATGCCGCGCCCGGATCGGCTGCCGCAGCACAACCTCGAAGACCGCCTCCTCCGTGGGCGTCCTCGCCTTTGCAGCGGCCGCCGCCAGGGTCGCGCGTGGCGGCGGCGGCGTGGCGGGACTGGGAGGCGAGGACAGCGGTGGCGACCATGGAGCAGGAGGCACGAATCCGCCTGTGATGCCGATCTGCGGAGGGCGGGGGAGAAGAGAGATCGTGCAGGGAGAGGAGAGAGATCGACGACATTTCGTTGCTATGATCGTTTTTTTATTAGAAAAAAAAGGAGCGTAGAAATAATACGTGAGTGCTGGAGGCTTTCGCTGGCTTGCTGGGGATGGAACGCGGGCTGCGGGGTTTACTCGAGCGGCCATGCCGCCTTGCGGATGGAGCGGTGGAGTGGGAAGCAGCGTTGAAGCCTGCGACATCCAAATAACATCGGCCATCGGACTGAGTTGAAGCTCGGAACAGAGGATTAAGAGCCATATATTTTAATGATGTTGAAATTTTGGGTACATTTTTATTGGTGCATAATGGTTGAACTCTCTCAGCGGAGACATATATTTGGGTGTACCTAGAATAGTTTGAATTGTTTCCTTATAGTAGAGATAGAGACGTGTACATGTATTTTGTTTCCTTTTGGTTGCAACCAACGGCTGCACACTTCATGAAAGGCCATCGGGCAAGAGATAATTTTAGAGTCGGAAATCAACTTTCCATGACATGCTATTTATGTTTCTTAATTGGGCGTGGTCACGTTATTAGTTATTACAACAAAAATGTTACATTACAATAACACTCTGAATTGAATTAGCTTTATTTGTTCATGTTGAAAACTAAAACAATTTCTATTTTCGGTTCATTCGTCACGTTCCAACAAATAAAATAAATGTTACAAAATCATGTTGGATTACATTTTATATTTTTAGGTACAAAACAATGTTACACCAGTGTCATTTTATATTAGGTATAAAAGTTAAATTACATATAGATCATAGAAAATTTTATCACATATACAACCGTTACATAAATGGTTTTTCCAAAGTTGTTAACGTTAACGGTACAACACTGTATGCACGTGGCCATTACGCAAGGACGGTTCAATAATTTGGCTAACAGAGGTCCAATTACAAGATATTTTGCTCCTTTCCAAAACAAAATAATGCCCTGTTCGCTTCGCTGAAAAAACAAGTCGAAACACTGTTTCGGCTGATTTGTTGTGAGAGAAAAACACTGTTCCGGTTAAAAAAACAAGCTAAAAAAACGGATTATAAGAGAAGCGAATAGGGCCGATATATAAAAATTATTTCACCTATTACATGCTAGGTAATATGTTATTTTGTCTTTTCGATCGACGGTCCATATTTATTTAAGAGTACGGTAGCAAAAGCCTAAAGCTTAAAATTTTCTAGTGGAAACTATATAAACTCATTGCCCCCTTCCCTCCGCAATTCGATTAGGTGGCCATCCAAAGGTGCACTTTGTCTGAACGAGATCTTCTAACTTCGCCCGTCTTGACTTTACTCTGCACCACCGCAGGCAGCTGCCGCCGCTTGCCGTCGAGTGGCACCAACGGCGGCGGCGGCTGGTCGCCTCAAGAGAGGACGAGGTAAGCCTTGCCCACAGCATAGTAAGAGATTGGACCGGCGTTGTGATGTGCCTAGGCCGACACAGACCGGAATGCTAGTCCAAGCATGATGTCTTGTGATTAAGGCTGAGCTGGCTCGGCTCGGCTCGGCTCGTTCTGGCTCATTAGGATAACGAGCCAAGCTAGACAGAAAGCCTCATCCATTTTTCCATTTATTACTATCATGCTAGTAGTCCAAGCATAATTTGTTTCCTTTTGGTTGCAACCAACGGCTTTACACTTCATGAAAGGCCATCTGGCAAGAGATAATTTTATAGTCGGAAATCAAGTTTCCATGACATGCTATTTGTGTTTCTTAATTGGGCATGGTCACGTTACAACAAAAAATGTTATAATACAATAACACTATGAATTGAATCAGCTTTATTTTTTCATGTTAAAATTAAACCAATTTCTATTTCTGGTTCATTCGTCACATTCCAACAAATAATAAATGTTACAAAATCATGTTGGGTTACATTTTATATTTTTAGTTACAAAACAAGTTTACACCAGTGTCATTTTATATCACATATACAACGTTACATAAATGTTTTTTTCAAAGTTGTTAACGTCATCGGACTGGGCTGTGTTAGTGTTGTGTTTGTGTCTAGAGCCATTTTGCCATTTATTACCATCGTGCTAGCTGAATCAAACAGGCATGTCACAGCTGATCTTCTACAAGCGTCGGACAAAAATTGCGACGAAAAGTTCCATAAGCACTTTCCATAGGACAAATTCGAATACAAACTCTACTCCGAATTCAAAACGAGGAGAAAATTCGATCACTAAGCATCATTGTTGTCCATTGATTGATCGGCGGGTCCTTTGCTGACTCGTATAGCATCAACGGGGCTGCAACTCAGACACGGAAGCTTCATTGATAGACGGCTCCCGAGCTGCCGCCATGGGACCCTTGCGACCCATGCTCATCCCCCGCGGCGGGTTCACTGCTGTGGCCGTGCGGCCATGAAGCGCGTAGGCCGGCACGGCGGGCGTCGGTAGCGTGATGGAGCAGCTATTCAGCATGACGACGACGGACGCCATGCCAGGACGGAGGTACGGATCCTCCTGGACGCAGAGCAGACCGACGTGGATACACCTCAGGATCACCTGCAGCCGTCGAGCAGCTGGCGCACACTCCCGCGGCTCCGGTGCCTCCAAACCTGTGCACGCCGACCAGCAATTATACATGAGGTCAGTGCCTCAAAGTGACTTGCTCGGAAGGTTATTGTCTTTTATATATGTCTTACGTTTACGTAGGCCTGGTTTAGATTGGGGGTTAGGAATCAGTATTTTGGCACCGTAGCATTTTTGTTTGTATTTGATAATTATTGTCCAATCATGGCATAACTAGATTCAAAAGATTCGTCTCGTAATTTACAATCAAACTGTGTAATTAGTTATTTTTTATCTATATTTAATACTCTATGCATGTGTTCAAAGATTTAATGTGACGAAGAAAGAGTGAAAAAACTTGCAATCTAAACCAGGCCTAGGTAAGCAAATCTTCAGATGGCCCTGAGCCTTGTGTGCACGTGTTGCGCCGGCCGGTGACGATCTCGAGGACGAGGACGCCGTAGCTGAAAATATCTGACTTGCCGAGAAGATGCCGTGCAGAGCGTACTCCGGCGCCATGTATCCGCTGCATTTCGGAAACACACGGCATATTTAGGAACGTTTAGGCGTTCAGCATGGATTCGACCCAATGCATTTTCGAGATTGGAGGCACCAAAGCACTGTTCACTTACTAAGGCCCCGTTTAGTTTCCCCCAGAATCTAAAATTTTTTGCGCAGTAACCGTCACATCGAATCTTATGGCACATGCATGAAGTACTAAATATAGATGAAAAAAAACTAATTACACAGTTAGCCGAGAAATCGTGAGACAAATCTTTTAAGCCTAAATAATCTATAATTGGACAATTTTTGTCAAATACTGCTACATTTTCGGAACTAAACACACTTAAGTTCCAGCAATGCGACTGGTGTTTCCCACGCTGGAGTCGATGCTGAAGAGCTTGGCCAAGCCGAAGTCTGAGATCTTGGGGTTCATGTCTGCGTCCAGCAGGATGTTGCTGGCCTTGAGATCGCGGTGGATGATGGTCAGCCTCGAGTCCTCGTGGAGGTAGAGGAGCCTCGGCCGATCCCTTCGATGATCCTCTGCCTCAGTCCCCAGCCTAGCTCTTGCTGCCGTGCAGGATCTGCCAGTTGAGTTTATCAGCGAATGTCCTGCTTGTTATCTGACTGAAGTGAAATGACAGTGGGATTATTATGGTTGTCTGAATGAAGCGATCACCGAAGAGGATCTTGTCGAGGCTGTTGTTGGTGAGGAACTCGTAGACGAGGAGCCTCTCGTGCTCCTCGATGCAGCAGCCGAGCAGGCGCACCAAGTTCCGGTGCTGGAGCTTCGCCAACAAGACGACCTCGTTCTTCATCTCCACCTGTCCTTGCTGCGAAGTTGCTGACAGCCTCTTCACTGCAATCTCCTGCCCGTCTTGCAGCGTGCCCTAGACAGGCAGAGCATTGCAATCAGATCAAAACAGACGCTTTAGAGCTGGTTACTCAGATCAATTTTGATGTTCCTGCAGGTTTAGAGTTACTTTGTAAACCGGTCCAAACCCGCCTTCCCCGAGCTTGTTTTCTAGTGAAAAGTTATCGGTGGCAGTTCGTAAGATGCTCAGATCATACAGGAGAGATTATGAACTTGCCATGTCTTCTACTTCATTTCCTGTAAGAGAGCAGCAAAGTCCCGGTCAATCCTGCAGGTTGTAGCAACTAGCACGATCTGCGTTAGAAAGCTAGTCTTGTTCTGGCACTTACTGGCACTTGCAACCTGCACATCGTTCCGTGGCTTCGTGTTTCTCTTGCAGAGACAGATAGCGACCAGCAGCAGGGCCAACAACGTCACGGCAACAGGAATTGACACAAGAAGAGCTGTCCTCACGGTGCGATTACTTCTTGTTGCAGCGGCTGGAACCATTCAATGTTTGTCGCCGTGGAAAATCAGTCATTGCCCCTAAGGCTACGTTTCTAGAAATTCCAACACTGCTGAAATTTAACTGTACCACAGAAAACATCACGTTTTTGTTTTTCTATATAGCCTAATGATAAACAGATCTCATGTTTTGGAAAAGAAGTCGCCGGTGGAGTCAACTTTCAACTAGATTGCCATTTTTGTCCGCTCAGACTATCTCCAACAATGCGACCTTAAATTCGAGAGCCATTGCAAAGAATTTTTGGTGCTGTGCAAAAGGGTCACGTACCTAAACTAAAAAAATAACTAATTGCACAGATTGCGATTACTTTGCGAGACGATTTTTAAGACTAATTAGTCCATAATTTGACAATATTGCGCTACAGTAAGCATGTGCTGATGACGGATTAATTAGGCTTAATAAATTCGTCTCGCGGATTACTGAGGACTTATGTAATTTGTTTTATTATTACTATCCGAACACTCCCATGTGACACTCGATGTGACACCCTGAACTTTAGCCCCTAAGGCCCTGTTCGCTTCTCTTATAATCCGTCTTTTTCACCTTATTTTTTCAGCCGGAACAGTGTTTTTCTCTCACCATAGATCCGCCGGAACAGTGTTTCGGCTTGTTTTTTCAGCGAAGCGAACGGGGCCTAAATTTAAACACCACCTTAGCTTTATAAAAAGTTAGCTCTTCTCTTGCAGTTGCTCTAACGATTGACAAAAATTTGGTCGCTGTGGTCAGTTGCTCACCCTTGGCCCCTGTCCCCGCTCCCTGTTCTTAGCGTCCCGTCCGCGTTGTGCTGGAGTTTTGTGCTCGGCGTTCGCGTGACTGCTGGAATTCCGCGTGCGGGTCGTCGACGGCCATGCAGCTCTGACAAAATGACAATTGTGTAGAGAACGTTAACCTTGCAGAGAAAACATAGTACAGCGGAGCACGAGGTGCCCTTTTGCAAAGGATTTCTGGTCTGCAACTGCAACCGGCTTTTCTACTCCCATTCTCTTCTCTGGCAGGCTGGGCGACATCCACAACCTTTGTTGCCCAGCTAACCTTCCTCAGAAACATTTAAACACATTTGTTACCCTATGCTGTTGGCAGCTTTGGAAGCGTAGAAATGGAGTCATCTTCGAGTCTGAAACAACTAGTCTCCAACAGACGTTTTCAGCCTGTATCTCTGATGCCAATCTATGGAAGCTTTGGCTACCTAGGAAGGACAGGAACCTTGCCGACGTGAGAAATTGATCACTTGAGGATCAAATGATGTAAAAATTTCTGTAACTTAGTGCCGGCCAAAGGCACCGTTCAATCAATACAAAAATTCAGGTGGGGATCCCCCCGTGACCATAAAAAAAGAATACAGGCAGGGCCTTCTAGAAAGCATTTGTTGTTTTCTATTCTCGTCTCGAGCCGCCTCACAGCATTAAGAAGTACTTTGTCGATGCAGTCAGCTGTCAGCCATTCCGGTAGACGCAAACACGCCGAGAATCCAACGACACCTGGCGTTCAGCGTTCAGTTCTTCAGAGACGTCCCTCTCCAAGCACATCCGTTGGCCGTTGGACTGAGCCACATCGGTTGGACGTTCAGCGTTCGGTTGATTCCGGTGAGTTTTGGTCACCTTGTCTAGAAACCGTGTACCTTGTCGTCTCTGAACTCTGATGCGCCACTGTGCCAAGTCCCATTTGAGATGCACACACAGTAGTGAACGGTTAGTTGGCATGTTAGCATCAGAACTTTGTCTTTATGATCCGTACATCGTCGTCAAAACTACCATAGGACAAACTGTTAACGTCCCGGTTCCAGTCTAATGCCTCCATAGGACAAACTGTACGATCTAACCTATAACCGTCTTAAGTACTCCGTACTTGCTTCAAACCTTCAAACTCTTGTAATTTTGATGAAAAAGAACCTGCTTCATTATTTATTTATTTATTTATTTATTATTATCATCATCATCATCATCATCATCATCATCATCATCATCATCATTATTATTATTATTTTGCCAAACAACATGCTTCGCTTAGGGGGTGATTGGTTGCCCGAACCAGGACGTCCGAAGGGGCATCCTGCCGTGTTTGGTTACCTTGCTCGCACCTTTTGCCTGCATCTTTTCATTCGTTTGCCCTCCTCCATCTCGCACGCCTCCGTCTTCTGGATTTCTCCTTCCCTCATGGTGTAGGACGACTTGATTCACCCAGGATGTAGGGACCCATGCGTCAGACACCCAAAAAAACTGATGCATGCATGTAACCAAACACAATCCCGTCTCGTACTAGACCAACATCAAAGACAATCAAACACGACCACTTGCACAAAACTCAACCCAGCTTCTTTGGTCCTGCATAGCCTGGGCATCCTGGCTCAAGGCTTGGTCTACAACCAATCATGCCTTTAGTTGCCAGCAAAGTATACATCCATGGGCGGATCTATATAGAGAATTGTGGGTGCGGCCGCATCCATATAAAAACAGAAAAACAATGATAATGTTCAATTTTTCACTATATTCGTGATATAAAGTTTACTCGTCCACAAGGCAAGCGCACCCCCCTCAAATTAGCTCTAGCTCCGCCCTTGTGTACATCACCGCCACGTTGGACGATATAGGCTGCATGGACTTGATCCCGAGAGGCCATGATCTAGTCCAACTTATGGCCTTAATTAGCCTTGACATATACTCCATTCATTCTAAATTATAAGTTGCTTTAATTTTTTTGGTACATCCATTTTACTATTCATCTAGATAAATAATATGTCTAGATACATAGCAAAATAGATGAACCAAAAAAGTCAAAGCGAATTATAATTTGGAACGGAGGAAGTAGCGTCTACGTATATAATGTGTTTCGTAGTAAGAAAAATGTGTTTGATTCAAGTGTTCACAAAAGAATAAGGACGTTGCTAATACATAATGATGATGAGTTGTCTAAAAATCATGCAAGTTAACACCGACGATGATACTGCCTGAACTCTATTCGACGGTTCACGTCACTTCCTAACTCCCAAGGCCCTTCAATTACTAGGCCCTGATTTTTTTTCTTTGAACACCGCCAAGAGCACTGGTATAT